CTAAGGCACTTGACTGCTAACCAGAAGGCTGGCGGTTCAAACCCACCAGCCACTCCTCGGAAGGAAGATAGGGCAATCTACTTCTGTAATGATACTGCCTTGGAAACCCAAGGAGGGGTCGCTATGAGTCAGGTACGACTTGACGGCACATAACAACAACAACAACAACAGCCTATGAGTATGCCTTGCTCCACATAATTTCATTTGCAAATACTGAAGTTCATACTGCTTGACAAGATATCTAAACAAATACTCAAAAGAATATGAAGAAATAATGATCTTTTTTAAAGGATGATTCAAACATTAGAAGAGTGATACCCTCTCTAGAGCTGAGGTGTATTATTTTTAGATTCTAATACAAAGCAGCACATTTCCTACATTACTAATATATTCCCTTAAACCAGAAGCAATAGTGTGTGTAGTGGGGAAGGGAGATGATGTCTACTTCTTACCTGCAAGAGATTGGTAAGCAAGATGAGTGTCTGCTTTCGGATGAACGGATCTGAGTCCTTCAGACACATGGAGATATTGGGGATATATTTGTCCACCATGACTGTGTACCGGATGCAGAGATCACACATGACAATGATGACATTGTTGCGGACAGCCACATCATTACACACCTCAAGCTCACGCACAAGTGCTGGGATGCTCCTCTTAGCCAAGTCCTCATGCTGTAAGCACAACTTGCCTGTCACAAAGGAAGGGAAAAGTCTCATTCACATTCTATTCTATGCTACTCCTATGTCTAAACTTTATCCAGATATATCTTGCCATGGATTTTATTTAATCTAAGTCAAAATATCATGTAAAAAATTTCAAACAATAAAAAAAATCAAAGCCAGTCAGACCAGTACTAGAGATTTTAGGAAGCTCAAAACGCTTGGGAAAGTTTATAAACTGCCTTAGGAGTTTCATGACATATATTCTATGGGATGTTTCTCTATGCTAATAAAATGAGTTGCCTTTCAAAGTCAATGTTTCAATGTTGCATTTATCTACTTACCTAGAAAGTGACCTTCAAAACCTAACAGAAGATGCATATTACTTCTGATTTTACATGTACTCCATAGAAGCTGAATATCTTTTAAAGAATTTGAACTTTGAGCTAGGTAAACAGGAAATATTGTTCATCTTGTTTATTTCTTGTACATAGTTAGAAAGAGAGCTGCTGAGTTCTATTTATGTATTTATTTTGTGGCCTGGTAAATGTTTTGGTATTATGTGTAATTTTTAGATAATTGAAAAATAACTATCAATTACTGAAAAACTTTGTAACTCTTACTAACATATACAATCACATAAAAGGAAAAAAAAAATGAAATTATAACATAGAGGTCAATGTTTTAAAGATTAACTATGAGTTCATGGAGAAATAGTAGGTCACCTACTAGTTCTGAAAAGTATCAAACTTTTTTAAACTGAACTTTGAATGTACTTTTCCATTCTCAGAACTTAGTATAGTCCCTGCCATTTAGTTCTTGATGAATAAACCTCATAGTGCTAAATGATGAGAACAAAAAAATTACAAGAACAGTTGTCACTATAACAATTTAACATAATCTTACTTAACATACAGAAAGTCCTGCCCTATAGTGTTTTGCATCTGATAGTGTTGGGTTGGTAGCACTCCGTTGTGACTGCAGAGCTGGGTACTAACATCAGAATCACTTATAAAAATCACAGGAGCTAGAGGAAAAGGAAGTCCACCAGTATATAACACATTGCTGTGGCTAGATTTATTTAGACAAAAAGCTACATGTGGAAATAAATTGTACAAACCACATTCTTTCCTCAGTTATTCTTACCTAAGGTAATGACTGCATGTGCTCTAATAATGGAAGACATGGGAGAGCCTCTGAACTGGGAAAGCAGTTGCAAAGTGGGGACATCACTGTCACCTTGTGATGACATTACTAAAGAGAAAGAGGAAAAATATATATTTACAGTACCTCAAGGGTTAATATAGCCATAAGACAGTACAGGGCAGAGTGTAATTTCAAGTGTCTTACAGTGATCCACATCAGTAGAAGCAGCTAGAATGGACTGAATCAGAAGGAAGACTCGCTTCTCCACTTTGGCAGGACACAACTGGGCTATACCTCCTAAGGTAAAAATGCATTTCACCTACAAAAAGAATAAGTTTTGCAATGAAAATAAGGCAAAAGAAGAATTAACTCTAGCTAGATTAGGACATGTTAATGGAATACTTTTTTGTTCCTCAAATTCAAAGAGCTTTACTATTTTTTTCTCTCATAAAAGCACATGGCTATTATAAACATTCAGTCACTACTTAATGAAACTCACCCAAAATTAGGGTAATCATATAATTTTATCATCTAAATCTGGATACTTTTGTGAGTAACAGGTGGTACTATTAATAATTATACTATGACAACAGGAGTAAACCAGGATTATCTTGGGTAAACTGGGATATACACATCCCCATCACCTACTTAGAATCCAAAGATACCATTATTGTTTTTATTTAACTATTCCACTATCAGGAACATGCATGTTGTTTCTAATCTTTTGCTATTGTTTACGTCCACTGTGATGAACACCTTTGTACTTCACTATTTTATTTTCTTAAAGAGCTCTGGTAGCATAGTACCTAAGGCACTTGACTACTAACCAGAAGGCTGGTGGTTCAAACCCACCAGCCACTCCTCATAAGGAAGACTGGGCAATCTACTTCCGTAGTGATACCACCTCAGAAACCCAAGGAGGGGTCACTGAGTCGGGTCCGAATCAACGGCACATAACAACAACAATTCTATTTTATTAGAGGTGAAATCCAGGGTTAAAGGTATATAAACTCATTTTACATTTTAATACTTATTTCCAAATTGTTCACCAGTTTAGTTTACTATTCATACTACCAAAAAACACGTATTAATATCTATTTCCTCATATCCACCACTACTTAATCCAACACACCATTTACTGTGTTTACTAATGATATTCAGCTTAAAAGTTAACTAATATTGTTGTTCTTTTTTCTTTAAAACTTCAAAAATGGAGGGGTGATATTAATCAGTAAAAGCCAAGTAAAGGATTATTTCAGGGTAAGAAAGCCAATAAGTGTGTGTGTTTAATACATTCCAAACAAATTTCTTAATGGATTAAAGAAATATTTGGATTATATTTAAATAAACATGAAATAAACAACATTATAGGGCAAAGTTTTTTCATATGTATTTTGACTGAGGGGTAGAATTTGATGACATTTAACCATTGAAAAAAAAAATCTTAGGTGGAAAACTCACTGGCCATAGGAAGTATTTTTTCTTAACTTCGGCAGACAAATTAGAAGACTGTGGTAGTTCAATTTGTATGTCAACTTGGCTGGGCCCGGTTGAGTGGCTAGGCAGCTGGTGGTAGTTATTCCCCATCATGAGTCTGGCAACGAACTCCATGGTGGGATCTACCACAAGCAGCTGAGTAGCTGCCATAGGGATGTGGTCTGCTTCCTGTATATAAGGAGAAGCCTTGGAGATAGTCTCTAGCTTATGCAATGCTTGGACCCTGCATGTAGCTGTGTCGTTGTTCAGCAGCCTGCCATACCCTGCCAACCTGCAGACTTACAATGGACTTAAAAATTAATGGTCTGCCGTGCGATTTGGTAACATCGGGATGGTACCTTTTTACTTGTCAACCTTGGGTTTGTTGGTCTCAGCAAATAGCAGCTGTCTGAGTGAATAATCGCCTCTAGCTCCAGTGGGCCAGGAGCAGAAGGCAGAGCTGGACCCCAAGGTTGAGAGGCTATTACCGATCCCCTAGAGCCTGGCACTTTGAACTTGGACTTAACGCCTCCAAAGTGTAAGAGAATAAACTCCTGTTTGTTAAGGCCATCTTATTTATGGTATATATTCTTGTCAGAGTGGCACTAGGTAACCAAAACAGAATTTGGTACCGAGAGAGTGGGGTGCTGCTCTGACAGATACCTTAGATGTGGAAACAGGAGTGGAGTGCATCCTTGACCCAAGACCCCAGCAGAGAGACCCCAGCATACATCATGACAGACAGCAGGAGCAGAGCAAGAGACTAGTATGAGAGATGGCAGGGGCAGAGCCCAGAGACCAGTATGAGAGATGGCAGTAGCAGAGCCAAGAGAACCAACATGAGACAGCAACAGCCTTACCAGCCCACAGAGGAGAAAGCTTGATGTCTTTGAATGGTAGAGTGGGTTGCCTTTGGCCATTAATTGGTAGAAAAGACCAGAATGAAATGGAGTAGTAGGTTGGCCAGACCATGGAACAGGAAAGCTGTGTGCTTTGGGGGCAGGAAGATTTCCAGCGGAGTGGGTTGCCTTTGGCATTAATCAGCAGAAGTGGAGAGACCAAGGAAATGGAAGCAGAGCTGGCTCAGTCTGAAAGGGGTATTGCTCTGAAATGGCCTTTGGGGTGGAATGAACACAGCCCCCTAGGTTTCAAAGAGCCAGGCTTTCACCAACTTGGTTCTGCAGTGTGGGGCTGCTCATTCATATGAGCCAATGGGATGGAGCCATAGGCGCTGCCCAAGAGTGAGAGGGCGGGGCTGCCATGCCCAAGAGAGAGAGGAACGGGGCCCACAGGCCAAGGGGTGAGGTCACCATTTACAGGAACTAGGGAACTGGAGCCACCCAGTGAGGGAGATCAGTATAGATGCCACCCAATGAAGATCTGTACAGGAGCCAACTTGAGTGGCTGGGCAGCTGGTGGCAGTTATTCCCCATGATGAGTTGGCAATCAGCTCCATGGTGGGATCTACCACAAGCAACTGAGAAGCTGCCTTTGGGATGCGGTCTACTTTCTGTATATAAGGAGAAGCCTTGGGGATAGTCTCTAGCGTATGGCATGCTTGGACCTCACATGTAGCCATGTCATTGTTCAGCAGTCTGCCATGCTCTGCAACCTAGGGACTTACAATGCACTTAAATTAATGGCCTGTCGTGTTGTTTGGTATTATCAGGACTGGGCCTTTTTATTTGTCGACCTTGGGTTTGTCAGCGTCAGCAGCCAGCAGCTGTCTGAGTGAAGAAACGGCTCTAGGTCCAGAGGGCCGGGAGCACGAGGCAGAGCAATACCCCAAAGTTGAGGGGCTTTTACCCAGCCCCTAGAACCTGGCACTCTGAACTTGGACTTAAAGCCTCCAAACTGTAAGAAAATAAACTCCTGCTTGTTCAAGCATCCTGTTTGTGGTATGTTCTTGTCAGAGAAGCACTAGGTAACCAGAAAAAAGAGTAAGGCTCCATTAGAAACCCTGAGTTAAGTGCATTCTATACATCATGGATTTGTTACTCAAAATGTCTTGATTCCAATGGGTAATGATATCTTTTATTATTGAAATTGTGCTTAGCAATGACTCAAGCACAAATGGTCTTTACCTGTAACAAATTTAAGCACTGTCTTCAATCACTAGGTAATGCAAGTGCTACCTGGTAAAGCAAGGACTAAACACAGAAAACAGGTATTCTATTAATTTTCAAATAAATGAGGAAAATGGCCAATTCTGGCTAAATGATGAGCTCAAAAGGTAGCTCATTATTTTTTTGATTAGACAGTGTCAGACGTTGGAGTCAGAATTATCTTACGTATTTTGTGACAGTCAACCATTCATGTCAGCAAACTGGCTCACATTCATTGGAACGCTGGAACCTCTTGCACTGAAATAATTCCTAAACCAGGGACACGATGTAATATAAGTTTGCCGCTAGAAGGTCAGTTGCGTTTTTACACTAAAATATTTTATTTTAGACATTTCTTTAGAACTACTCAGCAGATTTCTTACTTTTATAGTGCAATGTTCAAAAGCTCACAGGACACTTTGTAATTAAAACAAATCAACAAAAAGAACAAAGAACATATTCGCCTTATTATTTTTCTTTATTATCTTTAAGCTTGACTCTACAAGACTTACAACAAACACTGAGTTTCCTGGTTGGGATCAGGCTTCCAATAGGATCTAACTGGATGAAATGTATACTACTAAGTTTTCCATAAATATAGTAAGTACATAAGAAAAAACAATAGGTTAGCAATGAAAAATTAAAAAAAAAAAAAAAACCCAGTAACAAAAAACCAGTCATTCTAGTCTAGGGGGATCTTTTTCTTGGCAATAGTATTTGAAATGCCCATTATAAAATAATTTTTAAAAAGCCTAACTTATTTAAAAGGAAAAGAGTGGTGAAGAAAAGTAGCTGTTTACCAAAAGGTCTTCATCAATATTTCCTGCTCCATCTTCCTTAAGGACAATGTTGGACAAGCACTGCTCACAGGTGGAGACGATATTCACACAAACCTGCTTCAGTATTTCCTGTGGCAAGTTAAAGATAATTTCTGAAGGATCTCAAACATTTACCAAATTACTTATAAAAATCAATCTTCTCAAAAGAAACACTATTATCTTCAAATGAATAAATTATAAGCCATGAAAAACTCAGCCATCCTGATTTTATCTTTCCTCTTTTCCATAATTTGTCCAAAACAACACACTTTTAGCAAGCAATCTAGCTATGAGAACTGGCTAAGTGGAATTACCAAAAATGATACATGCATGTGTGTATAAAATATTTCTTTCTGCATTTGCTTTAGAAGGCCCAAAAGGAATGAGTCAGAAACAACTCAAAGGGAACGGGCTTATTAGTGCCCTAATTTGCAAAAATTTGAATAATAGCAACACTTCTTCAACAAGAGAGAAACACTGTAATCAATTCTTCTGAAAAATGGAAATGGTGAATTAACTACTCTGATAAATAGCATATTTTTGAAAATAAAATTTTAGAGAGTTCCAGTAAGATGGTGGAATAGGGATAAAGACTGCACAGGCCCCCTTCAACAAAGAAAAGGGGAACCAAATGACATACATACAGAAGATAATCCTGGACTCCTGAACCTTGAAGGGAAGGATATAGAAGTGTACTAACCTCCATCGAGCAGAACATTTTGCATCAAAATACCAAAAACAGAGAATTACAGAGCTGTGGTCTGGCAGCGATCCTGATGGCACAGACAGATTGGATACTTCCAAGTGGTGGAAGGACCTAAGAATTAACCTAAAAATCAGCCCTGCTAACCAGGGACTGCACGGAGGACTACTCTGGTAGCTAGGGAATAAAAGAGGAGGCACCGAAGAGGACAGTGGGATGAGCTGTGGACTTTTATCTGTCCGGAAGGTGCAGCTACTTTGAATGTTTAAAAGTGGCTTGACCATTTTGGGTAATTAAAGCAACAGCATTCTCCCAAATTCCAGGAGCTTTAAAACAGGCTTGTTTTCGTCTGTTTTGAAACTACTACTATTACTATTACTTTTGTCCTTTTTACTATTATTCTTTATTCTTCCCCTCCCAGGTCCTAGTTTTCAGCTTTTTTTTTTTTTCTTTTCCCTGTTCCTGGTTGCAATTTTATTTCTTTCTCATGATTAACCCTGTTCCTTTTTTTCTTTTTGCATTTTTTCCCTTTTTTTCTTCATTATTCTCCTTCACTACCTTTTTGCTCTTATTGCCCTATCCCCAGATATTGCAGGGGTTTTTTTCATTTCTTTTTCCCTTGTTATTTTCATCCGTTGCTGTTCCTGTGTAATTACAGTTGAGTTTTTTTTCCCATATGCTTTTACTTTTTGTCTAACAGAGTGGAAGACAGCAACAGTCCCCATACAACAAAACCATACCCATACCTCCTGCAACTTCACTTACTGAGCGAGAGCCACCACTTTGTTCTCCACCAATGGGCCAATAATGAAAAACCACCAAGAAAAGCCTGAATCACCCTTGGCTGCTCTTCACAAACAGTTACAGAGATATAAATACAATAACGCCACAACGTCTCAGAGACAACAGACCATCACAGTCCACACAAAGAAGCAAGAAAATGTGCTAGAAACAAGGAAGCGGGATATAGACCCAGAACACATCCCTGAGGAAGAAGCAGCATTGGAACTCTCTGATAATGAATTCAAAAGAATTGTATTTAGGTATCTTCAAAGGATTGAGAGACAGACCAAAGAAAACAAAGAAAAAACCATAGAAGAATTTTGGAAGAAAATACAAGAACAAAATGACAAATTAAATGAAAAATTATAAATGATTCTAAATCTATAGACAAAAATCCAGAAGTTAATACTAAATTGTCAGAAATAGATAACACATTGAAAGGGCAAAGGAGTAGAACTGATTCAACGGAAGATAAAATTAAAGACACTGAAGACAAATACCTAAATACTTCGGAAAGGGATCAATCAGAGAAAAGATCAAAACAAAATGAAGAAAGCCTAAGGTTCACGTGACATACCATCAAAAGGAATAACCTACATGTCACTGGAATTCCAGAACAGGAAGAGAAAAATAAAACCACTAAGAAAATTGTCCAAGATTTGTTGAAGGAGAACTTCCCTGATACAATGAAAGATGAGAATATATCCATTCAGGAAGTCCAATGAACCCCAAACAGGATAGACCTCAAAAGAAAATCACCAAGACACATCATCATCAAACTCATCAAAACCAAAGACAAAGACAGAATCCTGAAAGGAGCACGGGAAAAATAAAAAGTTATTTACAAAGGAACTAGTAAGAATAAGCTCTGATTTCTCAGCAGAAACCATGCAAGTGAAAAGGCAAAGGGATGGTATATATAAAATCCTGACAAAGAAAAATTTTCAACCAAGAATTATACACTTGGCAAAATTCTCCCTTGAATATGATAGTGAAATTAGGAGACTTCCACATAAGCAGAAACTAAAGGAATTTGTTAAATCCAGACCAACCGTACAAGAGGTACTAAAAAGAGTCCTTTGAACAGAGAACCAAAAATAGCAAATAACAATGGACGATTAATACACAAGATGACATAACCCAGAAACCAAAGCTATGGACATATCCAAAGTAAACTGAGCTACCAACAATGTAAACAGAGAACCAGAGACATCAATTGGCAAGTGAGGAGAACTACAAACCAAAAAGAGGGAAAACTACTGTGTAGTTACAGAACTTCTAAATAGTGAGGAAATCAAGAGAATTACAAGATAGAATGAACTGTTCTAATCATGGGGAGAAAATTATAAATCACATGGTAACCTCAAAGAAAAATGATAAACTTTCACATCACAATAACAAAGAGGACAAGCACAAATATTCAGCAAATACTCAAACAACAGCAACAAAGAAAATAATAAAACTATTCATAAATATAATTAGCTCAGCACAAAAAATAATATGGATCAAAGAAACCAGGGACATCATGAAAAAACACATAACAAAAAGACAGCAATAAATACATACTTGTCAATAATGTTAATGGATTAAATGCACCACTCAAGAGATAGAGAGATGCAAATTGGATAAGAAAAGAAAACCCATCAATATGCTATCTACAAGAGATACATCTTAGAGATAAAGACAAACACAGACTAAAAATCAAAGTTTGGAAAAAGATATATCAAGCAAATAGCAACCGTAAAAGAGCAGGAGTGGCAATACTAATTTCTGATCAAATTGACTTTAAGACAAAAATCACCATACAAGACAAGAAGGACATTATACAATGATGAAAGGATCATTTGAACATGAAGATATAACCATAATAAATATCTATGGACCCAATGAAAGAGCCCCAAAATATATAAATCAGATTTCAAAAGAGTTGAAAAGTCAAATAGATGACTCCACAGTCATAGTGGGAGACTTTAATAAACCACTTCCAATGAAAGATAGAACAACTGGAAATAAATTCAACAAAGATGCAGAAGAGCTAAACAATAAAATCCACCTACTTGACCTTACAGACATCTATAGAGCACTTCACAGAACAACAGCACAATATACATTCTTTTCCAGTGCACATGCAACATTTTCCTTGACAGACCACATGCTAGGCCATAAAGCAAGCCTTAATAAATTTAAAAACATTGAAATATTGCAAAGCATCTTCTCAGATCATAATGCTATCAAATTAGAAATCAACAAT